ATATAAAGTTTAAAAGTAAAATTGTTCTTAACATTTGCCTCAAAGTGGAAAAATTAGGATTACCAAATTAATTGCTATTCCAGTTTGCTCTTAGACATTTTTTAAGTTTCCAGCAAGCCAAGAGCAAAGCACAGAGGATTCTTAAAAGTTTGTCAGATGTAACTTTGGCTCTTAATAAGTTTCAGGTAAGAGCATGTTTAAAAGCTACTTGTATGTTGACCACCTTGTTGCTTTTAATTGGAGTAAAGTGGCCTTTTATAAGACTCATTGATCTGCAAACTGTTTCAAAGCCAGCCCCGGGCAGAGAAGGTCCCTGTGAGACTATCACAGTTACTCAGCAGAGTTGCTTTGGGACTCAAAGTGACAGAGTGCTAGCCTTGAACTGTAAAGCTGAGGACAACACTCAGGCCCCGAGTTCAAGTCCAGCGACTATCTAAGGGAAATGCCAATGAGGCATTTATCCCAGTGTAGAGAAGACATTCCTGGGACAAGAGCAATGGAGGAGCATCCAGAGGCCGTAAGCCATTGCTTGGATGGCAAAAATGTCAGATCCTAGAGTCATTTGTGTGTGGCCCTTCAAAATTTGGTCAGAGCCAGGAGGTCATGGGAAGATAGTTTGTAAGCATGCCTAATGTCCATGACTATCTACCTTGTAGGGACAGAAACCTGTTAGTAATCTGGGATAGTACTAAAAAGCTAAAGTTATAAAATTTGGGGGATGGTTTAAATCCCAACCCCTGTATGTGCCAAAAGACCTAATTGACAGTAACTTTTGAGCTAACACCAGCTACATGAAATTTATCTGTTCAAGAAAAAAGTTTGTAAACCTGAGAGTGTGTTTCTATTAACATCTGTCTAAAGGCCTGCACAGGTGACTTAGGCATTGTTAGGGTCACTACAGGTCACATTCCTAAAGATGCTTTTACAAACCAGAGTGCTAAACAAGCTACACTGCTGTAGCCGGAGAAAAAGTCTGTGCATTTGTCAAAAGTTAAAATATTGTTGTTGGTTTTTTTTGGGGGGGGTCCGGTCGTGGGGCCTGAACTCTGGGCCTGGGCGCTGTCCCTCAGCTCTTCAGCTCAAGGCTAGCGCTCTACCACTTGAGCCACAGCACCACTTCCGGCTTTTTTCTTTTTGCTTATGTAGTGCTGAGGAATCAAACCCAGGGCCTCTTGCGTGCAAGGCAAGCGCTCTACCACTGAGCCACCTTCCCAGCCCCTAAAATATTGTTCTTAATGACATCTAACCCTGGTAACCTCTTTGTAAAATAGACTAAAGTTATAGGTTCCTGGTTAGGTAGGATCAACACCCCTGAGTCAGCCTGAAGAAGTTACAGAAGATGAATCTTCGCCCATCATCCCCTTTTTAGAACAAGGGACCAGAGTCAAAAAAAAAAATGTGGCAAAATAGACAGAAGAAAAAGGCATGGAAAATAGTAGTACAGGCCTGAGCCCTTTATATCTGCCTAGAAAATCAGCCTTATTAAAAGAACTATCTAGTTTAAAAGATTGTCATCTTGGTAATTTGTCCTGGTTATTGTCTAAATAGTCTTAAAAACTAGTGGGGCCACAGCCTGCCAAGTCTACGTATTACTTGTATCCTTAACCAGTCTGTGTAGAAATTTACAGCCCAGCACGAGGTGTGACAGTCCCTTGAAGCCACTGAGAGATCCTGCTGCTGCTGCTGCTGCTGCTGCTACAGCCTGACAGTCACCTGGAGGAAATCTACATCGTTACCCTCACCACCTCCACTGTGGAAAAAGTAGACTAAACTCCTGCCTGATTCCATCTTTTGGATGGCTTCGCTTTGTCCATGTTACCATATACCTACTCTAATTTTATTATGGCTACTCCTCTTGCCGGGGAGACTAGCAAACATTGTGTTGTTCATGCCTTACACTGCTTTGCCACTATGGGACTTCCTAAACATTTTAAAACTGATAATGGTCCGGGATATGTCAGACAAGCTTTTCAAACTTTTTGTAAATCTTACCAGATTGTTCGCTCTACAGATATTCCCTATATTCCTCAAGGACAAGAAATTGTTAAACAAGCCAATGGGTTGTTAAAACACCAATTTTTAAATTAAAAGGGGGGAATTATACCCCTTCTCTCCTGTTAATGTTCTTCTCATGCTTTATTTATACTAATTTTTTAAGGTTTAGATTATAATGGCCTTTCCACAGCACAGCAGTTTTGGGAAAAAAAGAGAGCAAAGAGCTTTTGCCCAAGTTAAGTGGAAGGATCCTTTAACAGGTGATTGGCACAGGCCCGATCCGGTTTTAACATGGGGTGGAGGACATGTTTGTTTTTTCACAGGAAGAAAATAAATCCTGCTGGTTTCCTGAGCATTGTGTTAGGATTGTGGAGGCTCATTCAGATGACATAAACACCGACTCATTGGGTTTACATGCCAGATCCCCCGATTGTGCACCCTACAACTTGGGAGGCAGTTGAAGTACTCATTCATGTCAATAGATCAGCATATAGTACAGCCCCGGATCCCTTCATCCAGCACACCAAGATGGGAGATATCTCAACTTCAGACATTGGAACTCCTTTATGTTTTACCACCAGCTCTAAAGGCTCCATTCCAGGCTGTATTATAATGCTATCCATAAAATTTGGATCCCAGACAAAAATCAAATGTACAATATACAGATGACATCTTTACCAACTGGATACCCAGTTCATGCAAATTCCACTCCGTCGTATATGATACCCCGTTGCATTAATTCTTCACAAATAGTAGTATCTACAGGAAAGCCTCATCCAATAAGGTGCAGACATGTACAACCATTTTTTACCAATATTTCTGGAACTAACTCTCAATTAATGGACTGGTCTGGAGCTAATCTTACTAAGAAGTACAATCCTGGGCTGTGGTGGATGAATGGGCATCCTCAACATCATGTTTAGATGCTGGTGGCTGCACTCAACAACATAACCTGACCCAATTCATCCCTTTTAAAAAATATTATGAGTTGTGTATCACCACCCCATGTCATTATGTATGGACTGTTTAATTTCTCTGTAGAAGCTAATTATTTTAATGTCACCTGTTCTAATTGTTCTTTTACTAATTGCTTGCATAGCGGCATAAGTGAATCCATACTTATTGTCAGACAACCACCTTTTGTTATGCTTCCTGTAAATATTTCTGAAACTTGGTATAAAGATTCTGGCATTCAGGTGTTTAGACAATTGAAAGAACTAATGTGCCCTCGTGGATTTGTTGGGCTACTTTAGCTGATGTTTTGGCCTTTATGTCGTTAGCTGCCTCTGCAGCGGCAGCTGCTGTGGCACTAACACAAAATGTTGAAACTGCCCATTATCTTAATCAGCTTGCTCATATACTACACAAGCCCTACCTCTGGACTCTAAAGTGGCAAAAACTGCTAACAAAACTGTTTAAACAATTTCAACGCTATATCCCTTCCCTGACTAATGTCATTGCTTGGCCTGGGAATGCTTTTGCTGATGGTTTTTCTATGCCTTTCTTGTATTATACGTGCACTGCAAAACTCTCTTATGAGTTTAGCCAGCCAGCTACGTAAGATCAAGCTCCATATAAATGAATTCCCCCCGAGAGGAACTGTAGCCAGAGACGGGTAAGAGGGGGTGCCAGTCTGACCAACCTAAGACAGGGCCTTCAGCTTTGCTCTGAAGAAGTTCCGGATGACAGGTAAGACAAACAAGGTGATCCACCCAACCTAAGACAGGCGGGTTCGCTTCTTTAAACAAAGACGGGGAAGATGTTGGGTGGAGAGGACAGGAGTCAGGCTCAGGCAGGGAGCAACAGCAGGATGTGAACCTGCCTCCCTTAACCCAAAAGCTTGTTGGGACTAGAGCAAATCCAAGATGGAGACACAGCTTGGAGAGGCCATGAACACATCACCCAAGTTTTGCAGCTCAGTAACCAAGTCCAGCCAGGGGTGGGTGCGTGGAAAGGGAACTGGACATCATACATCTGGATTCTAGAAAGGCCATTGTTCTTGGGACCTGCCATCATCACCCTCCAGCTCCAGCACACTGGGTACATTTCCACCCTTGCGGTGAAACGGAACTCCATGAAGTGGCACCATGGCTCAAGTGGTAGAGTGCTCGCCTTGAGCTGAAGAGCTGAGGGACAGTGCCCAGGCTGAGTTCAAGCCCCATGACTGACAAAAAAAAGAAAGGAAGGAAGGAAGAAAGAAAGAGAGAGAGAGAGAAAGAGAGAGAGAGAAAGAAAGAAAGAGGAAAAAAGAAAAGAAAGAGAGAGAGAGAAAGAAAGAAAGGAAAAAAGGAAAGAAAGAAAGAAAGAAAGAAAGAAAGAAAGAAAGAAAGAAAGAAAGAAAGAAAGAAAGAAAGAAAGAAAGAAAAGAAATGGAACTCCAGACCCTGCCTGCCTGACTTGTGGGGTCCTAAAGATGAGCCATGCCACAGGCAGAGTGCACAGGGCCTGAAGAATCACCCCCACCTGTTCCTAACTTTGAGCTCATCCCCGTTGTCCTCTAAGGTCGTCCTTCAAAATACGAGCTCCCTGGGCAAGGAGGTGAAGGAGTCAATAGGTGTGGGCATCAGAGGTGTGCTCCCATCAGGCACACTGGTGGCTCTGACAAGACAGGACCCAGGAATTGCTGGCCTCAAGTACACAATGAGACGGCTAGGTCTGGCTACAAATTGCAGCTCCAGAAAAGTTTAATACCAGAGGGGAGGGAGCTAGACAGTCTGAAGGACCACAAAATGGGGCATCGAGGAGGAAGGGGCCCCGAAGAGAAGGAAACACTGGGAGATGCAGGCAGAAGCGGGGAGAAAGAGGGGGAGAGAAAGAAGAGCGCACTGGAGGAAGCAAAGAAGGGGATCCAGGCACCCAGGGAAGACTGAAAAGCTTAGCCAGGCAGTCTGGCTTGCTGGTGATAACTCCATGTGGCTTTGCCTCAGTTTCCCCAGCAGCTTGAGGGAAGAGGGCTCCCTGAGCAATGAGGCTGCCTCACCCTCAGCCCTCCCAGTGATACTCCTTCAGTGCTGGTAGGAGAGTCCGCTTGATATCACCACATAGCCCTGAAGGACAGAGAAAAGCATGGACCAGGTCAGAGGCCTGTGAGGACACACACAACCTACACACACACACACACACACACACACACACACACACACACACCAGCCTGGCTCTGAGTTCATGCTTTGTCATTCTTGCTGTTCCCCCAGGAGAGACCCTGGCTACTTTGAGCCTCTGTCTTCTGGAGGAGGCAAGTGGTTAGCACCTAGCCCCCAGATCTATGGAGAAGACACAGTGAGAATCTAAAATCTCATCAAGAATCAAGAATCTTCTCCAAACCCACATCCCCTGCCCAGCAGGGCCAAGTACCCCCAAGCCTCTCCTATTCTACACTACACTGTAGAAATATTCTGGAGGGCTTCTTCTTATTCATTCAACAAAAATTCCTTCAGCCCCTACTACATACCAATCCTTGTAGGCAGGACAGACACAGTCCTGCCCATAGGTAGTTCATAGTCTAATGCTAGGTGAACCAATATGGCGGTCATTACCACATGGGGCTTAACCTTAAAATTCAGCAATTCTCTTGCATTTGCCATATTTTAATTGCTCAGTGGCCACATATCCCCGAAGCAACTGCTTTGGACAATGTAGATGGCCATCACTGTGGGAAAGTTCTGATGGCCAGTGCTAGTCTAGCAACCTTGGCCTTCTGGCCTAGTGGCTGGATTGTGAGACCCATTGTGAGCCGACCACCCAGGCATATCTTAGGGTAATTCCCATCATCAGGCCTGGGTATTGATTGCTCTTCTGGAAGCGGCTTCCCCAAGGGTCTTGGGACCACAATGGTTAAGGAATAGGGTTATCTTCCCTGCAGAGATATTGGTGGGCAGGAGACAGGGGGCAGGAGAGGGAGATTGGGGGTAGGGGGGCTCAGACAGAGGCCTAGATTTCTGTCTGTGAGTACTTGAAGGAATTTCTTCTTATTCCCCCTGCCCAGGTGAAATGTGGGAATGTTGTAGGATCTCACTCTGGACTGGGTTTGTGGTTGAATTTTACTCTGGACCCATAATTTCCAGTCTAGGGACAATCATTGTAGAAGGTTCAGGAGACTCCAAGAGCTGCCTCTCCAACCTGCAGAAGTTGTCTATAAGGCTACAAAGCGCCCTCTGTCTCCCACTCCTGACACCCAGAATCATGGCACAACTGGAGCCCCAAATCCCCTGATGTGGGTTATGAGGATGGAGGGGGGAGGTCTCGTGGTGTCCTGATCTTCCATCTCTTTGCAGGAAAGGCTCCTGCATGGTCTAGCAGGGACAGGGTTCACCCCCAGGCCCGCCCACCCTCAACACTCCCCGGTTTGCAGGATGGGAGGGAGAGGGGTGACCACGGCCTTGCTGACCCCAGAGGCCCCTCTGAGCACTCCCCCAGGCTCTCACCTCATGGACAGAGACCTCAGGGCTGGCGTAGTGGAGATCAACCATGCTGGGGAGGCCAACACCTATGCCTAAGATAGCTGCGGGGAGAAAGGAGAAAGGAATGGGCTGGAAGTCGATCATACGTGGACTGGAGCCGGCTCTGTTCTCAAGTCCTCATGGGCACGGGGGCACTGGGGAGGTGGCTGCCATGATTACTTCCCCCACTTTACAGAAGGGAAAACTGAGGCCAGGAGAGGTAAAGAAGCTGGTAAAGCCCAATAGCCAAGAAGCCACATGGCTCCAGACTCCAGTCACCCTCTTCTCCCCTGAGGCTTAGAGGAAGGAGGGGACTAAGACGGGGCACATGCAAACACGGTGTGCAGTGAGGAGGGGCGGGGGGACAGGCTCACCATTGAGGTGGTACAGCAGAGGTTTCTCGAACACGGTACACATGAGTGTGTGTATCTGATCCATCTATAATCATGGAGACAGAGGGATGGATGACCACAGATTCACCCAGGGAGGGGCCAGAGAGATGGATAGTTAGGCAGATGGACAGGCAGGCAGCCAGGCAGATGCACAGCCCAGTAAAAGCAGAGAGAGGAGAGTAGCTCCACCAGGTCCCTGCTCCAGCAGGTCCCTGCTATGTATACATAGCAGCTGGGACCACTGAGGGCTGGGTTGGAGATTATTAGCCACCAGGCAGAGGGACACACGGGGACGCTGGGACAGACAGAGCAGAAAGGAGGGACACTCCAAGTGCAGACACACACTCGCACACCCTCTTCCTGGGCTCAAGGCTAGCCCGGCCAGTCGGAAGCCCACCCTCACCTCAATGGAGCCCACGTTGGAGGCGGCCACTGAGATCTGGACATCCCTGCAAGAGAAGCCAGAGCGCCCTGGGTGCAGCCAGCATCTCCTTCCCCCCGCCCCGGCCACGCAGCTGCACCTCAAGCTCCCCCAACACTGTGACCCACTGCACGGAAGAGTCCACGGAGGCTGCTGAAAGCAGGGGCCCGCGTTACCCCAGCATAGATGCGGTCCCCCGGAGCTTCATCTCGGACACAGAAAACTGAATTTTCAGGTTCACAACCTGTGGCGGGGGGGACAGGGGGGTCAGAGGGCACAGAGTCTGGAGGAATCTTTCCCTCCTATCCCCCCACACACACTGACCATAGTTGTTTGGGGCGCATTACTGAGGTGCCAGCCCTTGCTCTGGAAAGCTACCACAAGTATCCCCAATAATCCTGCTGGTGGTGGTGGCTGCCACAAAGGCCGAGAGTGGAGGGAGAGTGGAGGAAGGGGTACCCCGGGGACAGGTGAGGGCCCCAAGAAGGCTGGCCTAAGGAAAGCTGGAAAATTGAAAGATGGAGAGGAACCAGGGGGCTCTGTCCATGCAAAGGCCCTGAGGTAGAAATAGCCTGGCAAGTTCAATTAAGAGACCGCACGGAGACTGGTGTGGACACAACAAAGCAAATGAAGAGCCCATGGCCTCCCTCACAGCAGCGCACTCACCACGTCCAGGGAGAAGAGGGACTGGAAGGCCGAGTTAGAGGATGTTGCCAAGACATCCACCAAGGGCTGCAGTCTCAGAGTGGCATTGTTGGTATGGAGCGTGAGCATGGGCTTGGCACCCAGCTGGACTTTGAGCACCAGGGGCTTGGGCTGGGGGAAGAGGTGCGCCACCTGGGTGGTGGGGAAGAAGGGAAGCAGGCTGGGGTATGAGCTGCAGAGACTCGTCAGTGCTGACAAATCACCAGGGCTCTGCACATGACCGGGCTAAAGAGTGACCAGACAAGGGGTTTGGGCTCCTCGGAGGGGATCCCCGAGCTGGACCTTGGCTTTGTTTGTTTCTTTTGAGACAGGGTCTATAGAGCTGTGGTCTCAAGCTCATGCCTGGGATTATAAGTATTTTCCACTACACCCAGCTCGGAGCTGCATCTCGGAGGTAGAGAGGGATCCGGAAAGAGGAAGGCCACCCCTGGCAGAGGCACTCAGGGGCAGTGAGAAGAGAGCCCCAGGTCTGTGCAGAAGAAGGGCCAGCCCTGACAAGCAGGAGAGGTGGAAAGGGAACCCTACTCGGGGCAGTTGTGTGCCAGCTGAGACCTGGGTCCTGAGAACCCCATCCCAGCCTCCAGACTTGCCCCCAGGAGCGTCACCCACCTCTGGGATGAGCTGGCCCAGCGTGGAAGTGCTCAGCAGATTGTCCTCAGAGCTCTGAAATCAGCCCCACCCATGGCAGGGTTTACCGCAGCCATCCTCCAAGTAAGGACCCCGAGTAGAGGACAGGGACCCTCCCATCACAGACCCCAGTAATCCTCCCACCAGCCCCCCTGAGGCCCCTGCCAGGGCTTCGCGTTTGTGGGCACCCTGCCGGTGTGCCTCACCAGCTGCCCAGTGATGTCCAGGTTGAGGGTGCCAGCCTTCTGCATCAGCAGAAGGGCGTAGTCAAACAGCTTCTGGGATAGGGTCACCGTTGCCATAGCACCCGTGGTATCCATAGGCCATGGCAACAGGAAGGAGGCAGCATCCAGGGGCGGGGCCATGGGCTTGCCCAGCAGGAAGAGAACAGCCTGTAGGGAGAAGCAGCGGGGGGGGGGGGGGGTGGAGGGGGGGGGGAGGAGAGGTGGCCCTGGGATAGAACATGGCTCCTAGATGTCAATCAACCCCTCAGGCTGCCGCATGCTGGCTGGCCTGTGTGCCTTGTTCTGCCTGGAACAGCATTCTGCCCTTCTTCCTTAACGTCCTCGCTCCTTTTGGAATCTCCCCCAGATACCTAGGACCACCATGGTCCCCAGATCCCAGCAGCTGGTTGACTCACCTTGACCTCCAAGGAAATGGAGTCACTGGTGATGATGGGCACATTTGCCATGGAGTAGCGGATCTGAGACTCAGGACCCACAGGGTTGAGACCTTCATAACACCAGGATGGAGAAGAAAAGAAAAGAAAAAAAAAGGTATATTGAGCACTTCCCACCAATTACCTCATCTAGCCAGAAAACTATATTATCTGAGAAGCTTGAGGCAGGCCCAAAAGCAGAGAGGCAGGCAAAGTGTACACAACCAAGACGCAGCCACTCCTACACAGCTGTTGACCCCTGGTTTAGAAATCATTTTCACAGTTATGATTTCTGCTTTCCCAGTGGGTATCAGACTAATGACCCTAAACTAGAAGGAATGAGAAGGCCCAATCTAGACACAAATACCATCTGATATAGTAAAAAAGGAAAAGAAAAAAAGACAAAGAGCTTCAAGTCCTGTGGCTCACAATCCCAGCTACTTGGGAGGACTGGGTTTGAGGCCAGTCTGAGCCATGCACTTGTAGCTCATGCCTGTAATCCTAGCTACTCAAGAGGCTGACATTGGAGGATCATGTTTCAAAGCCAGACCAAGCAGGAAAGTCCTTGAGACTCTTATCTCCAATAGACTAGTCAGAAAAAGCCAGATGTGGAACAGTGGTTCAAGTGGTAGAGCACTAGCCTAGAGCAAAAAAGCTCAGGGACAGCACCCAGGCCCTGAGTTTAGGCCCCAGGACCTGCAAAAAAAAAAAAAAAAAAGCAAGATCCTATCTCAAAAAACACATCAGACCAAAGGCTCTTGCCTGTAATCCTAGCTACTTAGGAGATGTAAGGATTGTAATTCAAAGCCACCCTGGACAGGGGCTGGGAAGGTGGCTCAGTGGTAGAGTGCTTGCCTTGCATGCATGAGGCCCTGGGTTCGATTCCTCAGCACCACATAAGCAGAAAAGCTGGAAGTGGCGCTATAGCTCAAGAGGTAGAGTGCTAGCCTTGAGTTGGTACAGCACCCAGGCCCCAGGTGTGTCATGCACAACATTAATCCAGGGAATACAGGAGTCATAAGTAGGAGGGACTGCAGTGAAAGGCTGACCCAGGCAAAAAGCATAAGAATCTGGAATTCCCGGATTCCATGAATATTTGTGCAATCTGGAAGCCCACAGTTCATCCTATGATGGGCCCCTCCCAGAGGTCAGCCCTGATCCAGAGATGGAGTATGTGAAGGGTCTCGGCAGCACCACAGGCCCAGCCCTCCCAAACCCTGGGCTCCAGGTCTTACCAATCAATGTGCCCAGGTGGACATTGAGCTCCTGCACCAGGCTGGAGATGCACAGGCAGAGCTGGAGTAAGACAAAGAAGGGCTGTGGTTAGCCCCTTAGGACGAGAGGTAAGAGGCTGCAAGGGGTCCAAGGACCCCTGGGCCTGACACCCCTTCCTCCTTCCACTCCTCAATGGGCATCTCCCAGCACTTGAAACAGGGCATGGATCCTCAAGGCTAGCAAGGGCAGCCTAGGCCCACAGCTAGACTAAAAGTCACAGCCAGGTCGAGGAGCCTGCTACCACGGAGACGAGAGAGCCAGTGACTGAGGGCACGGTGCCCTTGGTGAGGCAGGCTGTGGTCCGTGGACTCCCACACGCGGGCCAGGCCAGACAGGCAGGGGAAAGAGGACGGGGTTTCCCCTTCCTGCAGGGCCCTCTGAAGCCCTGGTCTGGAAGAGACCGTGGGGGGGGAGGGGAGCCAGGGACAGGTGGGGCCGATGATGGGGCCAAGGTCATCTTGGGCAGCCTCAAAACAAGCTGCAGCTTTTCATCTGCAAGGTAGGAGTGTTGCAGCCTGCTTTTGGGGTGGGGTTGGCCTACAGTAGGTGTATTCTCCTATCTCCCCCCGATGGGGAGGTGGAGGGGTGAGAGTTTGCACCCCAGGGCATCATCTTGTACCAGGTCAGCTACATGAAGCTAATGACAAGAGCAGAAAATGCAACCATCCCTGCCAGAGCACACAGCTGGGACGGAGGTGGCGTCTGGAAGAGTGCAGCCACACGTGGCGCCAGTGCCAAGCCCTCGTGCACGCTTATTTTGTCTCTCCCGGAAACACTGCCCCTCCTCCACCCTCTAGCATGGAATCGGAGATGCCTTAGGGGGATGAACCCACCTCCTTGGTAACTCCCTAAACCCTACCTTTGCTTGGCTTTCTCTATCCCTCACTGGGGCATTAACCTCTTTCCTGCCCTTGTGGGAAAATGGAGGCTCCCATGGAGGGTTTTCTACAGAAAATCCTGAGCTGGGGGTGAAGCAATAGTGCATGAGTATGTGCTATGCATACATGAGGCCCCAGCTTCCACCTCAAGCATCGCGCGCGCACACGCGCACACGCACACACACACACACACACACACACACACACCAAGCACATACACACATAATCCACAGCTACCCCGCTCATGTCTGAATCCCCCACTTCTTCCATCAGGCTTTTTTTTTGGGGGGGAGAGGTTGGTCACAGGTTTTGACTCAGGGCCTAGGCATTGTCACTGAGTTTTTATGCTCAAGGCTAGTGCTCTATCACTTTGAGCCACAGCTCACTCCACTTCGGGTGGATTGATTAGATACTAGTAGTTAATTAAACATAAGAGTTTTATGGACTTTTCTGCCCTGGCAGGCTTTGAACCATGCTCCTTAGATCTCAGCCTCCTGAGTAGCTAGGATTACAGACATGAGCCACTGGTGGCCAGCCCATTAGGCCTCTGGGTGAGAGGCCTCTTCTTGTCCCCACCCCCGCCCGGGGCCCCCTCTCAGGGTCCTTTACCTTGTTACGCAGGGCAGCTTGAATGTGCTTCTGCACCAGGACCAACAGTGCAGGGGAGGAGCTGAGGAAGACACAGAAAGGATGCTTGACTCAGCAAAGCCCCACGTCTGGGCAGAAGACTCTGTCCTCTGGCAGTCCGGTGAAAGCCCCCCATCCTCCAGACTCAGGGCTGGGATGGTTGTCCCCACCCCCAGAGTCTCAAAGATAAAGTCTCGTCGTCATAAGGTTTGGAGATGGCCACGTTGAGATAAGTGAGGCCAGACTTAGGGGAGACTGAGGACAGTGAAAAGCCAGTCTCCTCCTGTCCCTGACCAACTGGCTTGGTGGCCACTCCAAGCCCAGTGGCCGAGCTTGGATCCCAGCTCTGTTTCCTGCTCTGGCTCAAGTTCTCTGTGACCTGCCCAGCAAAGCCCTGTCCCCGGTATCCATCTGAACAATGAGGGATGGCTGAACTCCATGTCTTCAACAGTAATTCCGGGTGGCCCACAGAAGCCCAGGGGTCCTTGGTTTAATAAGAGATTGGTTCATCCAGGCACTTACCTGTTTCTGCCAGCCAGCACACTGGCCGGGCTGAAGAGTGAGAAGCAGGAGGAGACTCCGACCTCAGGGGTCCCGATGGAGGCCTGCGCCACGCGCACATCAGCCAGCAGTACCACAGGTAGCAGCATCTCCAGGGGCTCTGGGACACTGTGGGAGGTCAGACCCAGCTCATGAAAGACCCTCAGATCCTTGGGCCTACGCTTGCCTACAACTTGATGAAGACAGGCCCTCCCACTCAGCATGAGCCAACCTCACTTGGGGTAGACTCTGAGCCCCCATACTCCACTCTGGGTCACAAATGTCACAGCACAGAGATGGTGACAGAGATTGTAGGACTCTGGGCCAGTCACCAGCCAACCTGAGCCTCCCATGAAATAGACACAGGATTGGCACCGGCTGTGCTGAGTTCCCAGGTGCTCGCCATATGCAAACACCCAGCTGTGGGTGCAGAGAACACCCACGGCATCACGGCTTGAGGGTCCAGGGGAGCCAAGAGGTGCCACGAGTGCCAGCTCACAGCTTGAATGTTGAGTGCCTAACAGAAGCTGCCTGGTTGCAGAATAATGTGGACAGCCACACCTACTGAGCACCTGTGTGTGTGCCTGGCGGGGGACAAGTAAGGACAGTAGCTAACCTCAGCAACGGATGCCCCACACTCAGCCATCAGTAAATTCACCCATTTGTCAGACGAGAAAACTGAGGATTAGGGAAGTGATGTGACTGCCCACCACATAATGGTTGGGCAGGGATTGGGATCTTAAAGATCTCCCTGTCCTCTTTTATTAGCTTAATAAAAAAATACACACATGCATGCATGAATACATACATACATATTCTCCTGATCTTACTCTTTTGAACATGGGACACAGAGACAGGAAGGGTGGCAAGTTTGACAAGGAGATTCACTCACCGCAAGATCTGGATGTTAAAATTGGCCATTGCTGACACATGAACCCCAAAACCAGCCATGAATTTCAGGTGGAGGCCGGACACATGAATTTCTGGGATCTGGATGCTGCAAGGTAGGAACCAAGGTAGCAGGGAGCCCCCAGAAAGCCATAGACGTGGCCCTGGGATGCTTTGAGCTACACTGACACCATTCATATTACAAGAAGCTTTCTAGTGGGGCACCAATGTCTCACACCTGTAATCCCAGGTACTTGGAAACTGAGATCTAGAGGATCATGGTTTGAAGCCAGTCCAGGCAGAAAAGTCCAAGAGACTCTGTTTCCAAAATAACCAACAAAAAGCTAGGGCACTGGCGGCTCATGCCTGTAATCCTAGCTACTCAAGAGGCTGAGATCTGAGGATCATGGTGTAAAGCCAGCCCGGGCAGAAAAGTCCATGAGACTCTTATCTCCAATTAACCACCAGAAAACTGAAATGGTGCTATGGCTCAAAGTGGTAGAACAACACTAGCCTTGACCAGAAGAGTTCACAAACAGTGCCTAGACCCTGAATTCAAGCCCCATGACCTACCAAAAAAAAAACTAGACTAGAGGCATGTTTCAAATGGTAGAGTGCCAACTAAGAAAGCAAGCAGAGTGAGTTTAAATCCCAGTATAGGCAGGAAAAAAGTAGGGGGGGCTTTCTGACAAGTGGGGCCATGAAGTGAGGGGACAATGATAAGTTCTCCACTCTGGGGTGAAGGGAGACAGGCCAGACAAAGCTGGGCGGACAGTTGGAGGGGGACAGGCAGCGGGGCCCCAGCCTCAGGTTAGATCTAGTGAGATGAAATGGGTAGGTCTCTGGCCATTTCTAGCAGTGACCCAGGAGGAAGTTTGGGAAAGAGACTTTGAGATGGACTGAGGCGGAAATCCTCCTGGAGCCTCTAAGCCGGAAGGACACACCTCCCACCACTACTGCCATTCCCATTGCTCAGCATCAGGCCCTCCGTTCCCCGACTGCTACGTAGAAATCAGTGCTTCTGCATAGTGGCTGTGGGGAGGAGATTCAGACACTGCAGAGCCAGCTGGAGTGGGGGAGAGGGGGCCATGCAGTCCACCTTGGCACTCCTCACTGCTAGCCTAGGGCGACTGAACCCAAGACAGTCATGAACCCATGACTGTCTTCCACACACAGGCCAACCCTGCTCCATTCACCCCACTGCCACCCATACGTGTTCCCAGGTCTGCAGCCGAGGCCTAGGCAATGGGTGTGGCAGGGTCAGCTCAGAAACCTCTGCAACATTCTTGGTGACTGGCTGTCCATGCAGGTCTTTATAATCATGTTGTGAACAGCACTCCAGCCCTACATTAAGATACTCACGCTTGGGTTGGGACTGTGGCTTGGTGGTAGAGGCTTGCCTAGTGTGCATGAAGCCCTGGGTTCAATTTCTCAGTACCACATACATAGAAAAAAAGCCAGAAGTGGTGCTGTGGCTCAAGTGGTAGAGGGCTAGCCTTGAGCAAAAGAAGCTCAGGGACAGTGACCAGGCCCTGAGTTCAAGCCCCAGGACCAGCAAAAAAAAAAAAAAAAAAAGCTTCTCCTTCTGGTAGCTCCCTGGGTGGCAGCAGTCTGTTTACTCCTGTGGTATTTTCATGTCTTAAAGTTAGTTGCCATCATTCAAAATTATAGTAGATAGACGATAGACAGATAAATGATAGGTACTTCATAGATAGATGAGAGACAAATAAATGGTAGCTAATAGATAGATCGATGATAGAAAGATAGATAGTAGACAGACAGCCTGACAGATGAGTCCCATGACACCTAGAGACTTGTCAGCAGCAAGTCTGTGCTCCACATGGAATGTGGACAGTGGGCCCAGCCACTGGAGGTGTCTGGCTTTGAGGCACCCCACCCTATGTGGGGTGGGGCTACTGGGCTCAGGCTAGTGTCTAAATTTCATGTCTAGCTTTTGGAGGAAGAAGCCTCGGGTCCTGTTAGCTCTGTGATCTTAGGGCCACAGTACTAGACCCCCTGAACTACCTCCGAGAAACCAGGCCTCCTCATGGCTCCATCTTAGACTCACCTCCTAAGTCTTTTCACAACCCTTCACTCTGTGGCTGGGAGCATCTGACCTAGGGAGAGGAGGCTCCCCTATCAACGACAGCTATATTAACTTCTAGCCTGGAGTACTGTACCCAGTGGATGGGAGCACTCCCCCTCCTAGCTTGAGGAGCAAGGCTCATTCAGGACCCCTACCCGCCTCCTGGGGAACTGAAGCACTTACCTGGTCACCAGGAACTCTCCAGCTAGTGCAAGAGCACCTCCTCTGGGAGGTGGCAGCACTCACCTGATAGGCTGAAGCTCCTTACCGCTCCTGTCCAGGAAATTGGGCACAGGGACCTGCAGGGCTCGCTCGAGTGGGGCCTTCCCGATGTCAGACACTGTGGGACCAGGGCAGGGCACTGAGAACACAGCACTTGCCATCTTCCCTGCGCAGGGAAAGAACAGGCGGCCCCCGCACAAGCCCACAGCGAAACACAGTCCACCCTAGCCCTCCACAATCATGTGGAGGGTGAGGGGCAGCCTCCGCTGGAGCTGTGCTCTGCCACTTACTGCCTGTGTAGCTGCTCTGTGCCTCAGTCTCCCTATCTATGCCTCTGCACTAGTTATAATGGTATCTGTCACTTCACGCCACTGCAGACCCTCGGTGAGTCCGAGTGCCAGCTCCATTCTTGCTGTGGGTCTTTGCAGCCACCCTGGCTTCCCATACAGGGGCTGCTGCGGTCCCAGGCCTCCTTCTGGGTGCTCTCTTGTTACTCTAATAAATCCCAGCTTGTAGGGAGGTGAAGACACCTGATCTTGGCTCTGGATTGAGGCACCTGGCTCAGAGCTTGTGGATTTTCTACCTCATGGGGGTGCTGGGCCCCAGGTGCTAATGAAGGGCAAGCTTAAAGGAAATGGGAAGCGATGCTAGATGGTGCTAGACCACTGCTCAAACTCACTGTGGGATGATGGGATGTCACTGAACCTCGGAGCCTCGATTTCCCCAGACAAAGAGGACAAAGGTGGTGGTCTCCATGCTCCCAATGCTCTCCTCTAACCTGACTGTGGCTGAGGGGAGATTCCCACCCCAGCCTCAGATTCTATCCACAGTGCTCCAAGACACAGAGCATGAACCTTGGGACTTGTGGGAAAGGGTGGGGAGATATGGGGAGAAGCCACCCTGCCCAGAGTTGGAAGTAGTGCGGGCTACATGGACCCTCCTGCCAGGTTCCTGAGAAGAATAAACAGGCAGATGAGTCAGGGACAACTCCTGGGGACAAAGAAGGTCTGTGCAAGACAAGCAGAGGGCAGGACAGTGGCCAGGGGCGGTGACCCTCGGGTACCTGCCCACAGGCATTCGTTTGACGTATGTGAGTCACATTTCTGCACAGATGACTGACCACGACAGCCTTCATTGTCTACCCATCTGCCCGAAAACAGGCCCTCCTGGGTGGGAGAGGGCCTGCTACTTCCCTGAGGCACGGACTGGCTGCTTTGTGGCCTGGGCTTCAAAGTCCTCCTTCTGTCTAGCTCAAAGTTTGCCCACCATAATCAGCTGCTGACCTCATATCCTGACCCAGCTTTGGTAGAACCCCAAGAGGCCCCTTAAATGTACCTGAAGGCTAGAACCCTGAGCCTTGCAGTCTTTGTTTCTCACCAGGTCTTAGCTCTCCCCGTGCCTATACCTGGGAATGGGGACAAGCAACAGAGTCATAGGGAAGAGGCCTGTCCCAAGAAAGGCCCAGAGAAGGCTACACTCTGTGGGGAGCTAACTTCAAGACATTCCGGGTAAGCTGGGCGCTGATGGCTCTTGCCTGTAATCCTAGCTACTCAGGAGGCTGAGGCCTGAGGATCAAGGCTCAAAGTCAGCCCAGGAGAGGAAAGTCTTTTATCTCCAGTTAGCTACCAGAAAATCGGAAGTGACACGTGGCTCAAATGGTAGAGTGCTAGCCTTGAGCAAAAGAGTGCAGAAACAGTGCCCAGGCCTTGAGTTCAAGCCCCACAATGGGCAAAAAAATAAAAAAATAAAAAACTCCTGCAGCAATGGGCTTGACATGTCTCTCCCAGCACAGGTGGATACAAACCACAGACCACACACACACACACACACACACACGCATGTGCACGCACGAACACATGCACCCAGAGTGCTCTGCCACACCCCTGAATATATCCAGGCATATGCCACAAGTACCCCCACACATACACCAAGACAAACAAACAAACTATGCCTGGGCAGCACTGGGAGTGTAGCATAGGCAATAGGGTGTCTGCCGAGCGAGTAGGAGGCCCTGAGTTCAAACCCTAGTACCACCACAAAAAAAAAGAATGCATCTCCGTGCTGCCCTGAAGGTGTGAGTAGACACACACTCGTAAGAGTTGTTTGGGAAGCTTATGCCCATGATACTAAGGCACATGAGCAAGGTCACATGTACACACTTGCGTTGGGGCCACTGTTCACACTGGTCATATGTACACACTTGCATTGAGGATACAGCTTATGTGTGCAAGACCACAGGCCATGTGTGCACACTTCTCAAATACTCATTGGGCAGCACTGTGTCTAGGAGTCAGGGACACGTGGCAAATGACAACTCAGGCCTGTGGACACCAAGATGATACACCTGCACAGACATGGACTCTCCTTCACATGCTAGTGGCACAGTTCTTACCATAACTCAGAGCTGCCTTGTTGAGTCGGACCATGGCGTCTGGCAAGGTGGTGTGGACCATGGGCAACAGTGCCAACAGCAGACCCAGCCCTTGTGACCCAAACATGGCTGTCCTGGCCACTGCCCCCGAGATCTGTGGGCCAAAATAGGGACAAACATCAAGGAGGTTGGTCAAAAAGACTATCCCTAGTTGCTCCAAACATATCCCAGGGCACAGGTCCTGCCCTGGGCCCCACAAACAGCCTTTACAACTCTGTGTTGGGAGCCACCATTTTTCCCTGCCCACTCCATCATGAACTAGAGGAATCTAGTCTGAAAATAGCCCCCAACGCCCAGGGAAATTGTGGTCTTGCCTCAAGTCACACAGTAGACTGGGGCCAAGCACAAGACCAAAGCCATATTAGAAGAAGATGGACCAAGAGGGCTGGGGAGACAGAGGGCTGCTTCTTATTTTCTAAAAAGAGGGTCCAAGCCCAGCACCCCAGAACATAAGGCTCTGTCACTTGATGCCAGGAGTCCAGACCAGTGTGATGGCCCAAATGCTGTCCAGTTGTCCAGTCTCAGTCAAGGGAGGACCCAAGGAGCCTGGCTCCCTTCCTCATCCCAACCTGATCAGGGGAGGAATGCCCACAAAATAGATGTCTCCATGGCCCCCAGTCCTAGGCAAGACCAGGGACAGAATGCCTTGCGCAGGGGGGTGGTTCACGGAGAGTCCTCACAGAGAGCTAGAGAAGCCAGCCCAGCCCGTCCCTACCTCAGTGGTCCCTGAGTCGGGTGGATGCTCAGTCCCAGGCAGGTCTCCTCGCCAGGTGGATAGCGGCTTTATGAGGCTCTCCAGTGTTCAGGGACCTCGGGGAAGGGCTGGGGTGCCACAGGTTTGCTTGTGGTTGCAAGTGTTTTCTCTGCAAACACAGCCTTTGCCAAAATGTCTCATGTCACATGTGTGATGGGGCTGCCACGTAGCCAGGCCTGGCAGCCAACCATTGGGAGACCCTGGAGTTAGGCAACTTTGGCTTAAAGGCCAAGAGATAGATCTCAGAAAATTAGTGTCCTCCTAAGAGCATCGCCTCATTGCCCCAACCAAGGCCCAGGGGTGCCCAAGGGCAGGGCCAGGATAGCAATGACCCCTCAAACATGATGTCTTCAAGTTGTGCCCCAAACACCACCCCCACAGAACAGGCAGGAAGCTGCTGAGCCCCAGCCGTCACTGACTGTGCCCTGACCCTGGCTGCATAATGAGCCTTCACCAAAAGGGAAAAGAGGAGAAAGCTGACAGACACACCCAGCCCTTCCCCAAGTGCACTGCCCACTCACACCTGGGTTAGCCCGCCACCTCTTCCCAGCTCCAGAATCCACCTTGGGTTGCAAAGAAGGGGCCACACGTGTGCAGTGAGGGAGCTTGCACAGATACCTGTGTGTGAATGGACTGTGTGTGTGTGTGTGTGTGTGTGTGTGTGTGTGTGTGTGTGTGTGTGCATAGTTACCTGAAATCTTGGTTCACGATGGTCTGCGCCAATCAACACATGCCAACACAAGCACAGATGCGAGTCTGTAAGCGTGTGTCTTACACACTTGTGTGTGGCAGTAAGTAGACCCTTTCCTGCTGTCAAGGATGTGTGCCTGTGTTATCATGTCTGCCTGTGTAGGGATGTCTGAGCTGCATTGGGCACCCTTCTATTACTCCGTATAACCCACCTGGGCCAACGGCCCATCGCATCTGTGGGATGGGGACTCCCTCCATTCCAGATCCTTCTGTGGCTCCCTGTGATTCTACCATAACCCAACACTAGGCCTAGAGCCCAGGTCTGCTCTGAACTGGGGCTTCTCTAGTGCCCATGTCAGCTACTGTCCTCCCAATGTGGCTCAAACTCACCTGGATTAGCTGTACCTACAAGCCAGTGCTCCACCCCTACCCCAATCTGGAGGTCAAAAGGAAGGAGAAGGGCCTGTTTGGGGCTCCCTGATACCCACTCCTCACATTACCCACCCAAGCCCAGCCAGGTCCTCTGGACTGCTCATCACACTGGGTGGGTAGAGGCTCAAATATTGACCAAAGCTACTCTTGATGTTTGCTTTTGCCACAAACAGTTCCTCTCCCTCAACAATTCCAGCAGCACAGAAGATACTTGGGTGACATCCAGGTGACACAAAAGGAAGATTCTTACCAGCCCCTCCCAAAGCCTGCAGCCTCCCCACCACATGGCAGAACACCATTTGCTGAACACTTGCCACAGGAGAGATGTTCGGACAGCCATCTCCAGGGATGGAGGATGCCTCTGCCAAGCCCCATGCTCAGGAGCCCTGTGTCTGGGACTGGAAGCCACAGGATGCTTAGACATGTTTGTAGGATGGATGGATGGATGGACAGATGAGCAGATGGATGGATGGAGTGGTAGAATGTTTCCCCTTTGCAAGATAATCTCAAGCATGTTGGATTAGTCTCCTGTTGCTGCTCTAACAAATTATCCCCTTTCATGACTCCAAACACAAATTTACCATGCCTAAATATGTTCTCGGTTGTAGTTTTAGCTCAATCAGTAACCAGGATGCTTTCAGTTATGTTTTTTTATTTTAATTTTTGTCCATTGTGGGACTTGAACTTGAGTAGCCTGAGTATTGTCCCTGAACTCTTTTGCTCAAGGCCAGTGCTCTACCACTTTGAGCCACAGCAGCACTTTCAGGGGTTTTTTTGGTGGTTAATTGAAGATGAGTCTCACGGACTTTCCTGCCCGGGCTGGCTTTGAACTGAGATCCTCAGATCTCAGCCTCCTGAGTAGCTAGGATTACAGGCGTGAGCCACTGATGCCCGGACTTGCCTGGCAAAATTAATCAACCTTTATTTTCTTCTCCAAGGTCCTAATCTCATTATCTGTGAGCTGTCGATGAGTTCAGGGGATTACATTTCTAGTGACAGAAGTCTTAAGTGGGTCGATTTTCTTCTCCTAAAAATGGATAGATGGTCACACTGTGCTCTGAGGTGAGACCCTGAGCCACACTGGAGACTGACCCTTCTCTGTCCACCTTCTCTGTGAGGTCACAGCGCCCACAGTTCCATCTCACGTCAGCAGATTCCACAAGTCACCTCCCAGGAGATACTGAGAGGGGTGGCAGCAGCCACTGCCTCCTCCCTTGACTACCAGAGATTCCCACCATTAATGCCCAGATGCCACGGTCTTCAAGGAACCCTGGGGACCCATGTTCCCTCCCCTCAGAAGATGTGGTCTATGCTACCAGGCCCAGGAGGTGAGGACAGCAGCCCCTCCTCACCACTTTTTCCCAGAATCCTTCAACTTCTCCTTTGGGAGTTGGCCATGTGCACTTAGAGAGGTGGCATCTGAAGACAGAGAGGTTGACGTGGTTTCTCCAAAGTTACCTGTCCAGGAGATAGCCCACGATGTCCCCTAGCCCCACATGCTCCTCCTAAAGGTCAGGCTAGTGAAGGCAGCAGATAAGGAAACAAACATCTTGGCTTCTTAATAGGTCAGGGGACCTCCAACTGCAGGTGACAGAAACTCTAACTCACAGTGATATCTTCTTCTGGCTTCCTCAGTGGGGTGGGGGGTGGGGGTGGGAGTGTCCCAAGATACAAAAACAAGCTATGGGGAGAGGGAAGACCCGTTAGAATTCAGTTGCCAATCTTTTAGATCAACACATAATAACTGTACATATTTATTGATACAACATGATCATGGGCACACAACATGATACTCTATGTAATGATAAAAATCAGGGTAAAGAACATTACCTTTGTGTTGGGGACTTTCCAGCTCTTCTCTCCTCATTATTTTGAGATAAATAATATATTGTTATAAACTAGACACCTTCATGTGGTATATATTATCGGGAAAGTATACATAAATCCATACCTTTGGGGTTGTGTTAGCACATCTAGGCAATAGTGACTTGGCTTTCTATCACCATAACAAAATTCCTGAGACAGTTAACTGATAAAGAGAGAAGGGATGGCTGGCTCATGGCTTGGCGATTCTAGTTCACGATCCCGGGGCCTCAGTGTTTTGTGTGGGTACATGGTGGCAAGAATGTGAGAGAGAAAAACAAACTGACCCCATATCTGGGAGTTAAAGAGAGAAAGAAGAAGAGACCAGACTCCCACAATCCACTACCAACTGCTTTTCCAATGACCTAAGCACCTCCTGTCAGGCTCCACCTCGTAAAGATTCACAGCTCCTCCCAAGAGTGCTACTGGGGAGACAAAGAATTTGACACAGGGCCTTTGGGGGACACCCAACATCCAAACGTTAACAGGAATGTATATAATTCCCTGACAAATACGCACACATACAGCGGGAGCATAATACTGTCCAGAGACCACTGCCTTAAAAAATAAAAATGTTCAGAGTGGGTAACAATGCATGACAAGAAATATACTCATTACCTTGCTCATGTAACTGTTACCCCCTCATCTTTACAATAAAATTGAAAAAAAAATTTTTTAATCTTGCTTACTAAGAGGTGCTCATGGAAGGGGGGGGCGGATTAGGAATCAGTGTATGTGAATTCCCCCCTCTGATTCTTCTCAAGATGTATGTTCCTTTTAGCCTCCACTCTGAGTCCCAAGAAGGCTTCTGGGAAGGAAGGAGAGGGCCACTGCTTCCTCTGGTCTCCCTTTAGCAAAGAGAAAACCTTTCCCTCAAGTCCAGGACTTCCCTCTCCCACCCCTATGTTGGAACCAGTCACCTCAAGGGGGATTACAGGATTGGAGGGTCACAACAGTCATCCACCAATCAGAATCGTCTAAGTAGGACTAGACCGGGGAAAACATGGTCAGGCTTCCTCTGCCATCTTCAGCCACCAGAACCCTTTTGTCTAAAAGAAACCTGTCCCTAGGAGGCTCAGCAAACGCCTCGGCCACTCAGTTTCTGAGACTGGAATACGGCAACATGGGGTTACTGTGTAAACTATGAAAAGTGATTTCAAACCTTGTCATTCCAGGGGCAACCAGCGAATCAGGAGTAACTACAGGGTGTCAGAGCAAGCCTCACCAGTCATGAGTGAGCAAGGGTGCCCCCTGCAACCCGGGCTGTGGGCAGCAGAGGGGCTGAGGCAACCCATCATACCCAGCAAGAGGCGGGGCCACAGGGAGGGCAGCAAAGCTTACCCAGGCTCTGTAAGCTCATTCCAGAAGCTGGCAGTGACCTGACAGTCCTTCCTGTGTTCTCCATAGGTGATGCCTTTCTGTTGCCTGTCCAAGTCAACCCTCCAACCCTCAACCTGACTCAGTTCATGCTGGGACATGTGTGTATGTATATACCAAAGACCCAGAGCAGCCCTCAGGCTGTGAGTCTTCAGGCAGGCTCTCCTGATGGTGCCTAAGGCCAGCCCTTCCATCCCAGCTAGCAGCCTTTCTCTATTCTATTCAACCTACTCTATTCTATTCTACCCACCCATCCATCCACCCATTCATTCATCCACCTATCCACCCATCTATCCACCCACCTATCCATCTACCCATCTATCCATCCACCATCCTCTTATCAACCCATCTACCTACCCATCTACACGAACATTCCTATACACACCCATCTACCCATCCAAATACCCATCTACCCACCCTTCCATCCACCCATCCACTGACACATCCATCCATTCATCCATCCACTCATCACCTCACCCATTCATTCACCCATCCACCCTTTCATCAACCCACTCATCCATCCATCCACTGAGTCATTGACCATGTCACTCACACCTTGTTAACATGGACACTTACTCCGTGATCAACTCATGTACTCTCCATCCACTCATTTCATTTTCCCCTCTTCTCATTTGCTTTCCTATTCCCCCATCTTCTGAGTCAAGCAGTCATTCTCTTCTCCATTCTTACATCTACCCATGTATCCTCCCACCTTCCCATCATCTTAAACCCCTATTTTTTTGTTTAGCTCCATACTGAGCTCTAGAGATAAACCCAACAAGGACCCTGCCTTGTCAAGCTCATAGCATCTAGGGATGAGCATTAGCACACTCCAGCTTTTTGTGTTAACAGCTTCTGGCCATCAGGGCCCCGCTGCAGGCCAGCTCTGGCTAGCACTTCATGCCATAACTCCCTGCCTCTATAATCTGAGCCTGGTCCTGCCCTGAGCTCCACCAGCCAGTTCAAGGGTCTCCCTGCAACACCCCCATCTCTAGGACAGCCAGTGCATCCTCACAGTGGAACAAAGGCATGGTTTCTCACTGTTCTCTGTCTTCTCTGCAGCCTGGTTTACCTACCTGGCTTGCTTCCTGAGAACCCAGGCACAGCAAGTACTGTTCAACACCTGCAGGTAAGCAGACAGAGTAGAGGGAGGGGGTGTGGGAACAGACAGCCGGTGACCACCATAACCCCTTTGTCTATCCTTGGTAGCCAGATCAGATCCTAAACTGCCTTTTGTCCATCCCTCCATCCCAGGATCCAGTTTGGCTCCTCATTGCTCCAGCTTCTCAGCCTGCAGCCTCTGGGATCCTGTCCCATCCCTATTTCCCAAGTTGCCTACCTTTTACATCCTCCTATGGACCACAGGGTGGCAAGACTGGAATTCTCCCCTTTTTCCTGTCCTCTAGGCCTTTGTGTGGGGCATTCTCCCCACCTGAGCACTCATCTATTCATTCATCCACCTGTCCTGCCCACGTGCATTCTTAGCTCCTGCTGCGCCCACACCTCTTTGCTTCCTTGGAAGTTCACATTGTAAATGTTTCCTTGGTGCCTCCTCTGGACCCAGGCAAGGCTGCACCAGCAGGCGGCCCAGCCAACAGTGCCCTGCTGAGTGTTGGGCACGTTCACTGGAGGTCCTAGGAGGAGGACCTCCTGCTGCTGTTGAAGGGCAGACAGGTTCAGCTGGGGAGAGGAGAAGGGGCGGGAGGTAGCGAGAAAGTGAAGGGTAGCCACCTGCCAGGACCTGGGGCCACCCTTGACCCTGCTTCTCTGGCTCCCAGGTGCAAGCAGCTCTGCCAAAAGCTGATGGAGAAGACTGGTCTTCTGGTCCTCTGTGCTTTTGGTATGTCTCCTGGGTCCTGACCTGGGTGGAGGCATCTGGGGCCCTGGCCCATCCTGGGAGGGAGAGACACGGGCTTGGGCTCTGTGTGACCCTCTATGTGAGTTTTCCCATCTGTCCAATGGGTGTCACTGCAAGGGATAAGTGAAATGATGAGCAAGAACTTTTTTTTTTCAAAGCCAAGAAATGATTTGTGTACTATCAGCCTTTCCTCAAACTTTAATAACATAATTATTATTATATTATATTACCATTAATAATATATGACATAGATCATATGTTAATAATAATATGCTATTCTGATTTATTATAGCTTCTAAGTCTAGCCTCCTCTGAGTCTAGCCTCCTCCTGCCTCCCAGAATGGTTTTGCTTTCCCACCTCCACCTGAGTTCACACTTTTAAAGCATATCATTCAGGGGTTTGTAGCCTATTTTAAGGTCATGCATCTACCACCATCAAATTGCAAAACGTTGTCACCAAGCCAGAAAGAAAGGGCTCTGTAGTCATTCATTCCCCCATGCCTCTAGGCAGACACTCTTCTTCTGCCCATATGGATTTGCCTGCCCTGAATATTTCCAATGAGTCAATGAAGCAGTGTGGGCTGTGTGGCTTTTCATGTAGCCATGTTTCCAGAATATATCTATGGTGTCGCAGGTATCAGGACTTCATTCCTTTTTCTGGTTCAGAATGTTCCTGTGAGATCACATGGCACTTCTTCCCATCATGCCCTGGGTTCCCACTCAACCAGTGAAAAGAGGCGGGGCGGCACATGCATGAGCCATCAAGCAGTCAGTGCAAAACCCAGGGGAGGAAATATGAGAGGAGCCCCATGCTATAGAAACAGCCCTCCAGGAGGATTCCCTGGAACTCCCAAGTTCTGGGTCCCGCTCTATAGAGAATGTGGGTGCCCCAGCTTTGTTCTTTTTCAAGATTATTTTGACTATGAGCCTTACTTCTTCATGAGCTTTACAATCAACCTTTACATTTTTGCAGAAGAGGCTAACAGGATTTAATAATAATGCCTTCCAATCCACAAATAGATATCTATGTTGATAGATACCTGTGTCTCCTCTAGTTTCTTTGACAATGTTTTGTTACATCTTTAGCATATAGGTGCTGTCATTTTTCCTGTTAAGCTTACTCCTAGGTATTTTGATATTTGTTTTTTGGTTTTGGGGTTTTGGGGGGGTTGTTTTGTTTTGTTTGGTCATGTGGCCTGAACTCTGGGCCTGGGTGCTGTCCCTCAGCTCTTCAGCTCAAGGCTAGCATTCTACCACTAAAGCCATAGCTCCACTTCTGGCTTTTTCTGCTTATGTGGTGCTGAAGAATTGAACCCAGGACCTCATGCATGCAAGGCAAGCACTCTACCACTAAGCCACCTTCCTAGCCCCATATTTTGATATTTTTGATGCTATTATAGCCAGAATTGTTTTCTTCAACTTCAGATGGTATATTTTTATATGTATAGATACAACTGATGTTGTATATTGTTCTTGTATTCTGCAACCTTTGCTGAATTCAGTTCTTAGTTCTGATAAAGGTCAGGGTGCCTCATCTTCAATATCTTAGAATTCTGTATGCAGATCATGTCATTTGCAAGAGGGACAGTTTTGCTCTTCTATGTGAAAATATTGATGTCTTTTCTTTCTTTTCCATGACTTACTGACCTGGTAGAACCTCCAATATAATGTTAAGTACTAATAGAAAGAACAGACATACTGTCTTGCTCCTGATCTCAAAGGAAAGCATCTCATTTTTCACCATTCAGTAGGATGTTCACTGTGGATTTTTCTTAACAGCCTTTATCAGGTTGAGAAAGTTTTCTTTTATTCCTAGTTATATATATGATCAAAAACAACAAATAGATGGACAGTGGTCATGCAGGCACACAATCCCAGCTCCTCAGGAGAGAGAGGCAGGAAGATCTCAATCTGAGGCTAGCCTAAGCAAAAGTATGAGACTCTATCTGAAAACAACAACAACAAACCAAATGTGAAAGGACTGGAGAACATACTTCACACTTGCCTAGTGCACATGAGGTCCTGAGTTCAATCTCCATACTACAGCAACAATCAATTTTGTTACATATTAAAGGCTTTTAAATAATAGATTTCAACCCGCTGGAATTCACACAGTGCAGAAAAAACTGCTTCTTCTCTTGGACAATCAGTCTGTGACAAGGCTGGGGTAGAAGAGTGAAAGGAGAAATGTATCACCCAGTGTAGGTGGCTCACATTAATGTACAATATCATGTGAATACAAGATAGCTACTCTCCTTTCCCAGGGGAGGAAAAGTGCGTTTAGAGAGATTAACTTCTCCCAACATTGCACAGGTCCCAAGCTCTTAACCTTGCATTGTTCTTGTAATCCACAGGATTCTGGATGTTTTCTATGCATTTGCCATCGAAAATGGAAGTCTGGCAGGTGAGTGTGAGAGTGTGAGCCCACCACAGGCCCACAACTGACTGGCCAGTCTCACCTCAGTCAGTCAATATTCCCTCCATAGTCCTCTTATTCTCCCCCAAATCTGCACTCTGCTCAATTCCTGACTCATCCTACATCCTAATCTCTACCAAGAACCCCCTCTCCGGCAAATGTGATTTCCAAAGAGTGGACAGCTGTCCTATCATTTACTCCAGAGGTGGCCCACTGCCCTATCTCAAGCTCCCGCTTAAAGAGATTATTATTCTTTTCTGTGTAAATGAAATGAGAGCCATTTGATTTCTTTTTCTGGGGAGGGGAGGAAATCAGCAACCAGAGCTCCCCATGTTTAGAAGTTTCTAGAGATCTATAGGGAATGAGATCAGAGAGATCTGACTCTCCCTCTCCCCTTATCTCCCATGAACTCCTTCAGCTCTTTCAATGCCCAACTAAAATGTCACCTCCTCAAGAAACGTCCAAAGAGAACCACATTTTCTTTCTACTATTCACAGTGATTGTGACCACCACTCCAAATGTACTAGAAACTCCTTGGGGGTGTCCAGCTCTGTGTGAGGCATGGGGCAGCTACTACCAAATGTTGGGTGTCTGGGGTCCAGAAGAGAATGTGAAGAGAGAATGGATAGCAGGCTAGATGAGTGGATGGGTGAATGGGTGGGTGGATGGATGGGTGGATGGATGGATGGATGGATGGATGGATGGATGGATGGATGGATAGATGGATGAGAGTATGGTGGGAGGGTGGATGGTATATAGGACTGAAGATCAGACAGGGGAGGCGGATTTAAGGTAGAGAAGGTGGGAAGATGAAACTGTAGATGGAGTAGGGGAGCGTGGTGGTTGTGGTTGGGCTGGCTGGCTGGCTAGATTAAAAGGAGAATACTTGGGATTTGGAGCACGGAGATGATGAGCAGATGGATGGAAGTACAAACATGAAAGTGGATGAATGGTTGTCGGAGAACAGATGGATGAAGCACTATTGGGTCCAGATTAGGCCATTTGACAGAGATCTCTGCTTTCTTCATTACCCCAGGATGACAGTATAAACAGTCCACTGCAGAGCTTGAAGTAAGTGAAACCTACTGATGGGTCCCATTATCATCTTTACAAACACAGCTTTAACAAGAATCTGTGGTCTTTTGGCTCACAATGTGGGCAGCATGATCAGAACCCGGACTTAAGTCCTACCCCCCATAGATCCTCTCTATCTCACCTTACGACAGTCTCCCTCTCTGGAACTTGGACTCATTTGTGAGTTGAGGTCAAATGTGTTTTTTGTTTGTTTGTTTTGAAGTCAACCATTTAAAGAAAATGTGAAGTGTATTGAATAGTTGTAGCCCATAGTCAGTGCTCAGTAATGGCTGCTGAGAAAGCATTATAACCAAGGAGTCACCTGAGTGGCAGCACCTTTGATCACAGATAACATGCTAAGGGCTTCTGGGTACAGGTAGCTCATGCCTATAATCCCAGCTACTCAGGAAGCCAGCCTGGGTGGGAAGTCCATGAGACCCTTCCAATGAACTACCAAAAACCCAGAAATGGGCTGTGATTCAAGTGGTGGTAGAGTGCTAGTCTTGAGCAAAAGAAGCTCAGGGGCAGCACCCATGCCATGAGTTCAAGCCCAGGACACACACACTCACACACACACACACACACACACACACACACACACACACACACGGAACCTGCTGGGTGTTAGGACAAGCAAGAGAACAGAAGACTATGACCTAGTTCTTTGAAGGTTGTGTAGCAAAGGGCAGATCTATCTGAGGGTGGAACTAGCATGACAAAGCAGTCGGTTCTTTGTTTTCTTTCACTCCTTCCTGAAAAGGATGTACCAGGAGAAGGTGCGATATCACAGTGGGGAAATCCAGGACCTCCGAGGTAGCCTGAACCTGCTCATTGCCAAACTGCAGCAGATGGAGGCCATGTCTGATGAGGTGAGCTGCTGGCTATTCTGCTCCTCCCACAAACTCCAGACCTCTCTTTATTCGATGCCGTTTCCTGTATCCCAAGTCTTTCTTGGTTTCATTTTTATGGAGCATATCTCCCAGGTAGCTTTCTGGAAAAGAGTAAAAGGAGAAGTGTATTTTGCTCTTTTAGCACTTGCATGTTTAAAAACAGCCATATTCTACATACCCTTGCAGTTGGATATAGAATTCTAGGAAGGAAAATTTCCTTGGAACATTTTGAAGGGAATCCAATATCATGTTCTGGTTTATACTGTTGCTTTGGAGAATTGCAACACCGCTATTATTTTTTCAGTCCTTTGTGTCTAATTGTTGTTATCCTGGGAGCTTCTAAGATATTTTTTTTCCTTCAGTGTCCTGAGTGTAACATGACTGAGAGTTGCTAAACCTACCGAATCTTTTCAATAGTTGGGAGGTTTTTTGGTTCCTTACCTATCTCTTAAAATATTGCTTCTTGGGACTGGGAAGGCGGCTCAGTGGTAGAGTGCTTGCCTCGCATGCATGAGGCCCTGGGTTCGATTCCTGAGCACTACATAAGCAGAAAAAGCCGGAAGTGGTGCTGTGGCTCAAGTGGTAGATTGCTGGCCTTGAGCTGAAGAACTGAGGGACAACTCCCAGGCCCAGAGTTCAGGCTCCATGACTGACCAAAAAAATGTTTCTTAGCCAGGCACCAATAAAACTCACACCTGTAATGCTAGCTGTTCAAGAAGCTGAGATGTAAGGATTGTAGTTCAAAGCCATCCAGGGCAGGAAAGTCCATCAGACTCCTATCTCCAATTAACTACCAAAAAAAAAAAAAAAAAGCCAGAAGTGGAACTGTAGCTCAAGTGGTAGAGCACTAGTGTTGAACAAAAAACCTCAGGGAGCCGGGCACTGGTGGCCGAGATCTGAGGATCACGCAGTTTAAAGCCAGCCCGGGGGAAGTCCATGAGACTCTTATCTCCAATAAACCACTCAGAAAATTTAAAGTGGCACTGTGGCTCAAGTGGTAGAGTGCTAGCCTTGAGCTGAAGAGCTGAGGGACAGCGCCAGGCCCAGAGTTCAAGCCCCACGACCAACAAAACAACAACAACAAAAAACCCTCAGGTACAGCATCCAGGCCCTGAGTTCAAGCCCCGGGACTCACACAAGCACATACACATGCACACACATGTGCATGCATGTGCACATCTCTCTCAGATTCTGATCATATTTACATTAAACCTTTCGAATGTGTCTCACATCATTCCTATGCTATTCCCTGGCTTGTTTTTTGTGTTTTCATTCTTTTTCTTTATGTGCTTAAGTTTTTATATTTTCTTGTGAACTCTCTTTAGGTTCACTAATAATTCTGTATTCTCTGTGAAATCTACTGCCTACTTCAGGTATTACTTAGTTCTAGAATCCATATTTGATCCTTTTTCCTCTATTTTAGTTCAATGGTGAATTTCTCTATTATTTTATCCATACTATCAATCATTTCCTTTTCTTAACATATGAGTCATGACTGTTTTTAAAAATCTCTGCTTGCCTAGTTGACATATGGTCAGTTACAATTAAAAGTTGCCTTTTTTCCAGTAAAAAAAAAAATCTCTGACTGGACTGGCTATGATCTCTTTCTAGTTTCTGGAGTTTTTCTCTTGAGTATGCACCATATTGTTTCATTCCTCTTAATGTGTAATAATTTTTCATATTTTCTGGACATCGTCTATAGAAAAATGCTATATGCTTTTTTATGACTTCCACTGAGAGTCCCCTCTCCCACTTTTTCTATAAAGAAGATGAAGTGTTCCAGACATGCACCAAACTGGTTACACAAACCTGGATGTCAAATTTTGTAAGGTTTATTCAGAGATTTTCTGCTTAATTCTTTTGACTCCTGCCCACACAGCTCCCAAAAACTTGGCAGATGTCTTAATGGGAAACACCATCTGTCTGAGGCTCTCAAGCCCAATTTTGTCTTCCAGCCTTGCGTGAATGTGACATCTCTGGTACCAATGATGCCTTTTTTGGCAGGAACAAACTTGGAGTCTCAGCTACTGATTGTGCCCAGAAATGGTGCTGTAACCAGGTGAAGTTCAGCTAGAACCTCTTTGTGTCAACTCTTAGAGGGAGCTCAAAGTATGGCCTCAGCATATGGTGCCTACAGCAGTAGTCAGCTGGCTGCCAGCGTCAGCCTCTAGCTGCTCCTAATGTACATGCATACTAGTGTGCGCATGCTAACATGTGTGTTAATATATGTATATTAATGTGGGCATGACAATATGTGCATGCCGATAATGTATGCATACTGAAGATATGTGCATACTAATGTATGCATACTAATGTGTTTCCTTGGTGAATATCTGATACAAATACCCTAGAGTGAAGAATTCCCCAAAGAATGGTAGGGAGAAAGTCTTAGCCTTCATTCTCTGTACACACATACTCAATCTGATCTAACTCTACTGCTGAGCTAGAGACCCTCTGACCTTTTTCCTTTTTTTTTTTTAAGCAGTTGTGGGGCTTGAACTCTGGGCCTGGGCGCTATCCTTCAGCTCTTCAGCTCTACCACTCAAGCCACAGCACCACTTCTGGTTTTTCTGGCAGTTTATTGGAGATGAGTCTCACGGACTTTCCTGCCTGGGCTGGCTTTGAACCAGGATCCTCAGATCTCAACCTCCTGATTAGCTAGGGTTACAGGCTTGAGCCACCGGCACCCGGCCCTCTGACTTTTGTTTTATTAAGATCCTAGCTGTATGACAAAATAAAACAAAGTGGACCTGGTCATGTGACTCCACCCATACCAGTTCTGCCCCAGTGCCCTCCCTGCATCTCTCCCCAGGCAGGAGAGCCCTGGGAGCAACAGCTGTTCACAACTCCCAAGTCTAGGTTAGTCCTGCCAGTTCTGGATTTTTATGTAAATGGAATCCTCAATAATGGTCTCAATGCTGTGCAGTCATTAAGCACCTACTGTGTGCTGGGCCCAATGCCAGAATCCCCAGCAAGCTTAGAGGCAGAGAAGGTAGAGAACACTGGGGAGCTGTCCTGGAGTTGAGACTGGTTTTAAGGAGACTGATTGAAAGGTTTTGCTTGGCAGGTAGGGTGAAGGTTAATGCTTCATACTTGGGAGCTGTGTGAACTCAGGTAGGTTATCAATCTCTCTGAGTCTGTTTCCACATCAACAAAATAGTCATAATCACTGCCCTGCATGACAGCCTTCCCAAGACTGTGGTATAGGACAATTTCCCCATGCTCAGAGAGGCCATGACCAACCAAGCAAGGTGACAGGGCTGCTCCACATGGGATTCACTGCTTCCTGGGAGCATCTAGAGGCTGATGCTGCCAGCTGACTACTCAGGCTGTGGACCACACGTGGCTTATTCATGTCATCCTCACATCATGGAGCTGGCTTCCACGAGTGACTTCCATGAGCTGGCTTTCCCATCTGCTAACCCTCCCCCAACCCCCCCCCAACCTGGGAAGATAGATGGGATGAAAGAAGACAGTGGGGTGGAGACCTCGTTATACCCTTTGTTGGAAAACAGAATCAGCCCCAACTGCGAAGTTAAACAGTAAGAGTAGTTGGCCCTGGCTGTCACCAACTAGGCTACATCCAGCCAGACAATGCAGGGTTAAGAACCTGGGACCGGCGGTGGGCTCTGCCTCTCCTCAGCTGTTACCCCCCATGGTTTAGTAGCAGCATCTCCAAAGTGGAGTGAGACTAGCAGGAGCTCCCTAGGGAGGCCATGGGGGCTTGGAGTGAATGGATGGGAGGCGGAGCTCAGTCCTGGCATATAGTAGAAGCCTTAAAGATCTCTCCATCCATACCCTGCACCCAAGCTGAGGCCTCTAGGTAGGACTGGCACCTCCACCTTATAAACAATCAAGATGCAGAGGCGCCGATGGCCCAAGACCTCACAGCAGTAAGGATCAGCCTGATTGTAGAGCCCCCGGCCCTTGACCTCCCAGACTGGGACCCCCTGTGACATCCAGTCATTGCACACATGAATGATCACCAAAGACGCAGTGAGGGAGAGGGTGGCTCTGTGCCAGCTGGGTCTCCTCGCAGTGTGGTGCCCAGGCTGGCATGGACCAGCCATGGCCTCTGCGGGCAGGGTAGAGAGAAGGATGTCTCCTGAGGCAGTCTGACCTCTGGTGCACACACACACACACACACACACACACACATACACACACAGCAGGACAGGACACAGCTTGTATTCTCTGCCTTCACAGGAAAAGATGGCCCAGAAAATAATGAAGATGATTCAAGGGGATTACATCGAAAAGCCAGACTTTGCCCTGAAGTCAATAGGTAACTGGTGGCCTCTCTCCCACGTGCCCATGCCAGGCGTCCCCAGAAACTTTTCAGAGGCTCGGTGCCTACCCAGCTGGATGGTGCCTACCCAGGATGGCCTACCTGCTGCTAGGGAAATTCATCCTCCAGCTGGCTTTCTTGCTACAGTTTGTTTTCTCTCCTGGGGTCTAGGTGGGGATGGGGGGAAGGAGGGTTGGATTCCCCGATTCTCAATTCTTCCTGGCCCCTCTGCACCTCACCCACACGCTACTCCCTAAATGCACAGGTCAGCAGAGCTCTGGGGTTTGGGGGAGCCGATTTCAGGAGCACATGGCCCAGTCATGGTCAGGAGTCAGCTTTGACTGGAGGAATGACAAGGGGACATTTGGGTGAAGCCCCAGTGAATTGGGAAGGTGTGTGGCCTATGAAAGATGCCTCTGGAAGGGGTCTGGCAAGAGCAAGTGACTGCCACCTGGGAGGGGCAAGGAGCCAGAGGCCAGAGCCATAGGGTGCATGGGGCCACCCCCCAGGGGATACTCATCAGGCAGCACTATACCCAGCATGGGCACCCTGGGCTCAGAAAATGTAGAGTCAGCATTAGCCCTTCCACAGAGCCTCAGCCCTCCTCCACCTCGGGCCACACACCCCTGTGTGGGTTGAGTATGGAACCAGCCACGAGGGCATGGCATCGTGGGTATACAGAGAGCAGCCAGCTCTGTGCCAACCCCAGCTTTGTCCACATACAGCCTGCCAGATGGTGGCTCTTACTGCTGCTATGGTGGGGGCCTGTCCTCTTTCCCACCTCCCAAGGGTGACATGGAGATCCAGCCAGGGCCCAATGACCCAGGAGGGCCCAGTCAGTGCAGGTTCTGCCACCAGCAGAGGCTGAGACCCTCTCCCGCACAGGCTCCAGCATCGACTTTGAGCACACATCACCCACCTACCACCACGACAAGGCCCGCTCCTACTGGAACTGGATCCGGCTGTGGAACTACGCTCAGCCCCCGGACGTGATCCTTGAGGCAGGCCACAGCAGGAGAGGGGTCCTGGCAGGGCAGGGTGGGACCCCCGAAACTGGTGGTAGAGGTGAGGGAGGGAGGGCAGGGAACAGGAGACAGAGACGGGGCAACACCATGGCGGGGATAATGGGCGAGAAAGGTGAGGGCTAATGTATGTCAACCTGGAGGCTCACCCTAGGGCCCAGGCTGTCTCCATTTTGGAAAGGATAGCATCAAGGCTCAAGGAGCCAGGTCAGCTGGCTACAGCCACACAGCTGGCCCCAGGTATGTGGCAGAGTGCGAATTCAAACCTGAGCTTCCTCACCCCTCCACAATCCTGCCTCTCAGTCGAGGGGTCAGACACAGTGCCCAATGGTCAGATGATTGTGAGACCCTGTGTGTGTGTGTGTGTGTGTGTGTGTGTGTTGGGTAAATGAGTGACTATAGATGAATGCATTCCAGGGGGAACAATCTGAGGCAGGAAAGCCTTGGGAGGGCCTCTGCCCTCGCTGCCCTCAGAGCAGGCCAGGGCCCTGGAGCTTGGCTGTGGACGGGAAGGCCTGGCTCCTTCACCACAGCTGGGAAAGCCATGCCCACCATCGCCTTTCTTGCTCTGCCTCTTCCAGCCCAACATGACACCAGGCAACTGCTGGGCCTTTGCGGGTGACCATGGAAAGGTGACCATCCGATTGGCCCAGAAGGTCTACCTGACCAATATCACCCTGCAACACATTCCCAAGACCATCTCACTGTCCGGCTGCCAGGACACTGCCCCCAAGGATTTCGTCATCTATGTAAGGGCACCCTAACATGAAGCGAGGCTTGGCTAAGGGACTGAGGGGCACCTGTGGTTTCAGAAAGCACCCCAATTCTCACAGGCCCGGGGAACAGTGGGAGGGGGCAGGGGTAGGGTGGGGAAGGATGGGGTTGGGGACAATTGTCACCTTGCAACAAAGGCACCAGGTAACTATCCAAATTCAGTCCCAGGCTTTTCAGAGCTAGATGAGACTAAACTGTTTTGCGGGGGAGGTCAAAAGAATGATCAGTTTTCTCAATAAAATGCGGCCCAGAGAAAGGCCAGGGAAGCACCCCCACTTTATACGTTAGCAGCAGAGTTGGAAGATGCTCAGCCTCTTACTCCTGGGCCAACTCTTTCCCTGTCCATGATGCAGTGTGTGCTGCCCACCTGGGTGGGAGCCCCTGTCCTGGCAGGTGCACCAGTGGCAGCTCTGCTGTATCTGACACCTTCTCTTTGTCTGCTCCACAGGGCATTGAGTGTCCCTCCAAGGAGGAAGTGTTCCTGGGGGCGTTCCAGTTTCAGCCAGAAAACATCATTCAGATGTTCCCCCTCCAGGTACCTGAGGAAGCCACCTGCCCAGACACCCACTGAGCATGCCCAGGGTGTAGCTGTAACCAGGGCCCTACACCCCAGTAACATTTGTTACTGATCCATTTGGCAGAAAAGGAAACTGAGCCTTGGAATGATGTTGCTGCTATCCTGGGCCAAAAACAAAACAAACAAACACCCTAGAAAGATCCAGCCAGCTAAAACCATCCTTCATGTCCCCAATCCCCCCAGAGTCCTCCCAGGTGCCACCAGGGGCCTCTGTTGGGGGTTGCTGGCTCCAAATTTATTTCCCATATTGTCAGCCCCTCATCACAGGTGAGGAAACTGAGGCAGGAAGACAATGCAGAGAGGAAGACTTGGCCAGGCTTGGGAATCCAGGCAACACTGGCCTAAATCTCAGCCCAGACATAAATCCTGTGTGACCTTAAGCCTTTACCCTTCTCAGGCCTCAGTTTCCCCTTTTGCATTTCCCTGGGAGGTTCAGACCAGGCTGTGAGATCCTGAGAACCAAGCCTCTGTGTAGGGGGAGGAAGTATGATAAACACAGGCTTCTCTGGCTGGGGAAGCCAAAGGTGAGCATTACACTTAGTGCCTACCACGTGCCAGGGGCTGGTGAGCCTCTAGCAGCACCAACAGTTCATCTCACAACAGTCCTGGGAGGTAGCCATTACCTCTCACATCTTCCATGGGAGAACAGGCCAGAGAGGAACGAGGGCTTGCTCAGGGCCTCACAGCGCTTACATCACCAGGGCTCCAAGCCTGCGTGTTTTCCCTAGCTCAGTTACGTCTGCCTTCTTCCTATCCTGGCCCTGAGTGCTGTGTTGCCTTGGGACAGTTCATTCCCTTCTCTAGACCTTAGTTTTCCTACCTGTGAAGTGGGAAAGTTCTCTTCCATTCTCCAATGCCTCTCTGACAGAGACAGAGGGGCCTGTGGGTGAGCTGCATCTCTGATTCCTCGTTCCAGAACCATCCACCCCGGGCCTTTGGTGCCGTCAAGGTGAAGATCTCAAGCAACTGGGGAAACTCGCGCTTCACCTGCATGTACCGTGTGCGCGTGCATGGCTCCGTGACTTTGCCCAAATAGAACTAATTAGAACCCCGACCTGAGAGAGAGTAAAGTTTATTCTTTAACCCAGCCCAAGTCTGAATGTGTCTGGGTCCTGGTGAGGGAGAGTGGCCTAGCATTGGACATCAGTCCAGAGTGAGCAATTATTGATCACCTACTGGGTGCCCAGTAGCCAACAATCCCCTCCCCTCACACACACACACAGTGAAAGCTCTGAGTAGCAAAGTGATTTGCTGGAGGCCACAGCCAACAAAGGCAGCCTTGGGCTTCAGACCCAGGCAGTCAGGCTCTTGTACGGGAGACAGCCTAATGTTTTCAAATGGAGTACTGTCCCTACCTACACAGGACCTTCAACAATTCCACTCCCCTAGGGCCTGGATGATGGGGGACAGGGACAGAGTGATGACTGTTATAGCAGCAGATAAGTCTTCCTCTATCTTGGAGTATTTCAACGTCCTAGGGATAATGTGCTGTGAGATGTGGGTCCAGACACACACCCTCACTGGACCCCAACTTCAGTCACTATATTTTAGTTTGGGTGATCTTTGTCATGGTTGTGTAATAGTTTCTACCTTCACTGGGCACCAGTGGCTCATGCCTGGAATCCTAGCTACTCAGGGGGCTGAGATCTGAGGATCAAGTTTTGAAGCCTGGCTTCAAGGAAAGCCCATGTGACTCTTATCTCTAATTAACCCCCAGAAAACCAGAAGTGGCACTGTAACTCAAAGTGGTAGAGTGCTAGTCTTGGATGAAAGAGCTCAGAGCTCAGGGATAGCGCCCAGGCCCTGTGTTCAAGCCCCACATATATATAGATATTTCCCCACCTTCTAGTACTGAGAGTATATAGACATGGCAGAAATAGTGTCTGCTGCTAGTGTCTGCCATGACTCTGGCACAAAATCCCAGCACACAGCATGACCCACAGTGAGGGGTGAACACCAAGGTGACTCAACCTCTGGCCCCAAGCAGGAAGTAAGAAGACTAGCTCTCTGGGAGGGGGTGACATTACTCTTCAAAATGGGGTCCTAATAGAACTGGAGGGACAAGGGGTGAACAAATGTACCACTGGCACTCATTGGATACTATGTGGAAAGTGAACTATTCTATGGGAGAGAAAAACTTGGGGAGGGCAAGGGAAGGAGGGACATTGTCCAAAAAGAAATGTACTCTTTACTCACATGTAACTGTAACCCCTCTGTACATCACTTTTATAATAGTAAAAGTTATTTAAAAAAACAAAACAGGGCCCTAAAGGGTTGGGAGCAGGGACTGGAGCCTATGAGGAAGAAAACTGCTAGCAGACATGGGTAGGCAGGTGGAAGCTGGCAAGGGCCCAGCTCGGCATTAGAAGGGCGGAGATCGGAACTGTGCTTGTCTCCAGGGAGGGCGCCCAGGAGAGGCCCTTGCTGGGCTGCCGTGTCCACCCCTCAGGCCATGTGCCAAGCCTGCAGCCAGCCCTCTCTCAGTCTCTAGCGGAAGGGGCTTCAAGAGGCCACCTCACACTCCTGCCACTACCACACACACACACACACACACACACACACACACACACACTCAGCCACCAGAGGGCCTAGAAGCCACACACATCAAACCTGGTATCATCTTGACAATTATGTGAACCGTTCTTGTTGTGAAAAGGGCTAAATCGTACAGAGGATTGATAAAAGCAAACTCGTGAGCACTCCACTCCCTCTCCCAGCTCTTCTCCGTTTGCTTCGTGGCCTTCAGCAGAGAGAAATATCCTATCATCAAGTCAAGTCAATCTGTTCCTTACAGCCCCTAGGGTGGTGTATTATCACACAGTTATATTTTCTCCTGTTTTACTTATGTACACACACACACACACACTCACTCTTTAGTACTTACAAGAGTTCGATGTATTGAACCTCCTTAATATATCAGCAATTTCTGTGTATGGTGTGAGGCAGGGATCTAACTTCATTTTTTACCATCTGCACTGCCATTACTGAACAGCTCACCTATTCTAGCATGGAAACACCCAGAAAGCCGTTTCCAGCCTTTTTTGCTTCACCCTGCAGCCTCACCTTGCATTCACACCAGGCCTCTTCACTTTCTCTGTCTGCCCTCTCACATAGCAAGCACCTCCCTCTATTTCCAGCACCTTCTTTGAGGTTCCCACACTCCTCTCCTCCAGTGCACTTCATCAGCTTATCAGGCTGTGTTTATTTCAGGACAGCTGCTTGCTCTGCTTTGGGGGCTCGTGTGTGAAGGACAAGTCTGTCAGCCATATCGGCTCTTCAGATTTCCCCCTTCCTTCAGGTACAGGTCACCACTTGCTGCATACAAATCTGTACTTTCCTTGCCAGAATTCGAGATGACGATGGCAGCTTCTAGGCTACTATACACTGGTGACACTTTCTGAGGGGGGGCACTCAGGAAATACTCTCCCTTTGCTGGTCCCCTCCTCTCGGTTCTCAATTCTTCAGGATGTTCTAGGCAGGCGCACACATGACCCACAAACCTTACTTGGCATCCCTTCCTCTTGAAGAGTCTCCAGGCACCCTCTACTCTTTATCACTCCCTGTCATGTCCTCCCATCTGCCAGGTCTGGCCATTCCAAAATGGAGCAATAGATATGCACTGTGCAACTGAACAGTCCCTCTGTGCAGACCAGGGAGCCCTCCCCTGAGGGAGCCCATCTTATCCATGTCCCACCACAGAGCCTGACCAGCCTAGCAGGGGGCAGGAGCCTGCTCCATTGTTTCTAGGACAACATCTGGAAGAACAAAGGTGACCCCTAGGGTCACCTCAAAACACCATCCCAGACCCACAATGCCCAGGCTGGCTGGCTGCCCACCGCTCAGCCCCACTGGCCTGGAACAGAGACTGTGGGCCACAGGCCAGAGTGGAAGTCGCCTCTCCCAGTCTGCCAAGACAGACCCAGAGGTACAGAGTGCCAAGCTACCCCCTAAGGCCTCCAGAGTGGCGCCTACAACCTAGCCCAGAGCCCCAGGATTTAGCTTATCTCCATAATCTGTGGAGCCCGGGCAGCACCACTGGGGCAGGCGGCCAGGACCCCTGCTTCTGTGAGACTCAGAGGTCTGGACAGGCAGTGGGTGATAGCCCCAGAAACAGACTTCGCCCGGTCCCCTTCTCCCCTATTTGCACTAGGAAATGCCGTCTCCCCCTTCCCTGCCTCAGATTTGGGCGTGCAAAACCCTTGTGGGTGAGGCTAGTGAGACTCCCCTGCTGTGCACATGGTCTTTATTTCTCCAAATCAATTCTGCACCTGAGCCCCCACAGGCCTGAGCCAGTGGGCGGTCATGAAGCAGTTTCTCAGGTCTCCATCCCCCCTCGTGGCTCAGGGACTGAAGCCAGTCATTTGTTGGCCACACTCCTGGCTGAGAAGCTAGAGCAGAATGACCCCATCTACCCCTTCACTTGACCCTGAGCCCCAGGGATTATAAGAAGCCTTGGTGGCTTAGGCTCAGGGCCCCTGTATATAGCCCTCTGGGCCTGTGGACCTGTGGGCTGCTCCCATCCCCAGCAGCCAGCAAAGGACTTGCTCTGTTCCTTCCTCTGGTTCACCTGACTCAGGCTCCAGGAAAAGTGGGGGGGGAGGGGGAGAGCAGTTGAGACTCCTATCCCCACAATCCTCTGAGTCCTCAGACTGGGTGTGGAGGGAGTGGTCAAGTTCCAGGGAGCCCCCTCCTCCTCACCCTGCTGGCCGCTCCACTGGCAATGCCACCAGTCAGTTTTGTAGCCACACAAAGCACCACTGAAAACCTTTGTGGACAGACTTTCTGTGAGCATGGATGAACCACCTCCACCTGCATGAACCTAAGACCTGGGCTTTGCAAGGGGAAGAGCACCCAAAATGGCCAGTAAATGGGCCCGCTTCAGAGAGCTCACACCACCAGGTGAGCCCAGCAGCTCTGGGCTGAGCTGTGTGGATCTGCCACACTGCTGGAAGGGAGCTGGGATTGGCGGGATTGGCAGGACTGGTGGATAGGGTCTATGGCTGGGAGGAACCAGAAAAGGCCCTGTCTCTCCTGTGCCCAAGAGAAGCCAAGGGAATACAGCTGCGGGGCCTGGCACCCCTAACTCAAGTTGCCCCCCTGGGCAGAGAGGAAGCAGAAGTCCAACAGTGGAGGGACTGAACCTCTATCCCAGAAATGGGTGAGCCCAGAGGTATAGGGAGGCACTGGAGTGCCCAGGATTCTGCAGACTTTCCAACCTGGTTTGGGATGGGGCTACTTCCTCTTTCTCCCAGAGGGCCTGTCAGCCCTAGACAGGCTGACAGTGCCACCAAACAGAGGTTAGCATGTTATTATTTATTGTACTTCTCAGTCAGGCTCAGAGAGGCTCGCGTCATCCTTGCCTCGCCTTCCTGGGTAAGTCAGAACCAGGAGGGCATTTGGGAGTGTCGTGGTGATAGGTCATGGTACAGGTGGGGAAAGGCAAAAGGAACCTAAAAAGGAAACTGAGATCAAAGGTTTCTAAGAGAAAATACTATAGTTATAACTTCCTAAGTTCATTCAGAGATGACCTCAATTCCTCACCATCTCGGAGTACTCAAACCCCAAAGGCTAATACTGTTCTTCTCACCCTAGAGACAACCCCCATCAGTGTTTTTTTTGTTGTTGTTTTTTTGCTTGGTTGTGGGGCTTAAACTCTGGGCCTGGGCTCTGTCCCTCAGCTCTTCAGCTGAAGGCTAACACTCACTTGAGCCATAGCACCACTTCCAGTTTTCTGGTGGTTTATTGGAGATAGGAGTTTCACAGACTTTCCTGCCTGGGCTGGCTCTAAACCTGGATCCTCAGATCTGAGTCTCCTGATTACAGGATTACAGGCGTGAGCCACTGGGTATATTTTTAAAAACAGGTACTTCAACTGCTTTTGTTGCTATTAGCTACAAGCAGGAAAAAAGTTTAGGTATTTCTCATTGTTCTAAATCATTCTCTCAGCAGTTCCTGCAATCACCTTGGGTTCCAGAAGAGATAGAATTGATGGATAACATCTTTATGACAAGGGACTGTCCCCTAAGGGACCAGGGG